TTCTCCAAGTTTCCACCCCATACAGTAGAACTGTCTTGACATTTGTGTTGAAAATTCTGATCTTCGCGTTGGTTGAATGACAGTTAATTTGAATTCCAGATGTTCTTCACTTATAAATATGCTGCTCTTGCTTTGCCGATACACGCCTTCACAACTGTATCAGATCTATCGTATTCATCAATGATGGTGCTCAGATATGTAAATGTTTTTACATCTTCCAAATCTTCTCCGTCAAGTGTGATTTGATTGATGCATGTTGTGTTATATCGGAGAATCTTGCTTTTCCCTTTGTGTATGTTGAGACCTATTGTTTCTGAGGCTGCTTCTACACTGAAAGTCTTCTCCTACATTTGTTGCTGCGTGTGCCATAGAAGAGCCAAATCATCTTCACAGTCTAGAACCTTCTCCTGCATTCTATTAGTGCAGCTGCATCTTATCTGTCCATTATATCCCATGCACACCCCCCCCGAAGATGTTGACTTCTTCATGATCCAATCGATCAACAGAAGAAAAAGAAAATTTAATATTGAAAAGTATCATGGTTTAAAATGAAGCTTTAACAAAAATCGAAACACACATAAAATCATTCACATTCCATATATCATCCAAATTTCATTTTGTTTCTATGCCAATTCATTCATAGATTTGTTTATATAAATCATATGATCTTAGTTGAAAACTATCACTGAGTATTACACTTGTGATTACATAACCATATTGATTCATGTGAATGATGTTTACAAATTGGATTAGGTAGAATAATTAGTGAAGAATGTCTACTGTTGATTTATGTTAACTATTCTCAATTTTATAGTGGAATTTTATTCTAAAAAGACAGGCATAAAGAGAGGTATCTACCTCAGTACAATGGAAGATGGTTGCTCAATGTCGTGGATTGGTTGAGGTCAGACATTAACACCATTGGATGTCGGCTCAGTGGTCCAGTAAACTGAACGTTGGCGCGCGATACTGAAGGCCCTGGGTTCGAATCCCGCGATCGGAGGCATGGATGCGCACTGACGAGGAGTCCAGCGATAGGACAAAACGACCGTCCAGTGCTTCTAGGTATTCAGTGGTGGTCTAACAACAATAGGTTCATGATTTCAATCAAAAATATAATACTCTGCACAATCCCTATACTGATAAAAAGAAATCCACTGGTCAGATTGAAAGGCAAACTTAATAATGACTGTAGAAAACTTGAAATAACAACTTTTTTGTCTATATACTGAAATTCATGTGAGAGATAATGACTGATAGAATTAGATCATTCACAATTAATTGATCATTGGGTAGGTGATCTATGTCATTTCATGTTCTTATTATTATAGATCGAATCCTATCGACCAAGTTGCAATGTTGATTTGTACTACGTTGAGATAATATGTTGGTTGGCGGTAGTCGACAGGAAACCCTGAACCCAAGTTTCGTGCTATTTGGCACTCGTCAGTAAGGTGCACCTGCCATCTTGAGGGAACGGATGCTCCTTGACGGATTCGATCCCATGTCACCCAGCTTCACAATCAGAGATGTTATTACTGGGCTATCCAAGGCGCGACTGACCTCCTGTAGGATTGAGTTGTATTTTCAATTGATTGATCACTGGGTGGTGATCACTGTCATGTCTGTCAGGTCCTTAGACTATGTTAGAGGTGAGACAAGTTTTATCAGTTCCATCGGATAATGATCATTCAATGCAATGAGTCGGTTGAAGTTTTGAGGCAATGGTTGCGAACGTAATAGTCTAGTCTAAGTGTTCACCAAAAGACATGAAAAGTCTGGGTCTGATCCCTGTTGCGTTCATTAGTGTGTGTACCTCTGAACAGCTCCGTCCTAGAATCAAACAGTTTTCCAGTGTTTAGAAGTATTCAATATTTGCCAAAGGCTATTTCATGGTGTGAATAATAATGTAGAAAGCTGGACATAAATATTTGTGGTACTACTTAAAAATCCATCTGGTGAAATCAATTAGAAAGGTATTTCAATCATCACATAACTCATCTTTATACCATCGGATGATAGATATTTTGTTATAATTGATTAGTTATCCGTGTGTCTGAATTCAATCAACTGCTTCTCAAAAACTAGATATGTGAGTCGTTTGTCAAAATCACTTCATTGTCATATCTGAGAGAATCTTTCATAATGATTTAGCAATGAAAAAATATCGATTACTTATATCTTTTGTTTTGCATTATACAATAGACTCAGGCTTATCCATTGATGCCAATAACTAGATTTACATGAAGATTAAGAGAGATCTTTAGGTTACAGTTGATTCTGGCTGCATACGCATGGAAGTGTGGACTCTTTCCATCCTTGACGGTACCAAGGCATTTTAGAGTACGGTTGGGGGCTACCAGTTGAATCCAGGACATGTGTTTTGCCCTGTCTAAGACTTGTCAGCTGAATGTACCTGCATCTCGAAATTGTTCACTCCGGAAGTCGAACTCAGTACCGTTCGCTTCAGATGCCATCTTATTATTCACTTGGACATTAGTGATCATAAGTTCATTGTTAGTCCTCAAATGCCTGAAATATTTACTCAGTAGTACGTGGTGTGTTTTTAAATCAGATCTCTCAATTAAATTTAGTGATTTAATAAACATCCAAATCCTCATGTTCACAAACCAATTTACTTAGATACTTACACCTGTTACCGTTCTTGTGTTCACCTACCAAGAATCTCTAGTCAAATCTATTATGACCTTTCATTTCCAGTTATAACCAGGTTTCACTCGTGATCTTGGTATCTAACTCTAGTTGCCGTTGCCATATGTTCTTTGATTCGTCTCTTTACCTTTCACCTTGGAGATTTCAAGTTACAACTGACTATAAATTATATCCTATCGACCTCCAGAGTCTTTTCCTAATAACCTTAACTGGAAATTGGTCTATTCTTAGACGGAGAAGAATATTTCCGATAGTCTCTAGTCAATGAATCTGTAGTGAATTATATAGACAATTGTTTATTTATTCATATATTTTTTCAAATGTTGTTAGTAGTAGTTGTTGTCAAGGTTTCAGCAGGTCATGTAACAGTTGAAAGATTGAAGTTTAACTTCATGATGCATTGGGAAAACTGACTAAATAAGACTGATAGCCTTATGAAAATGCAAAGAACTTCAGGTCTTTAGTATAATAGGATACTGGCTAATAGTAGAATCAGAAGCTTAGGTGTCGTCCGATTTGAAACTTGTCAGATGGATGTGTGATGTATGCTACTTATTTTCATAGATACAAGTAGTATGTAACACCAATCACTATTTAATCGAGTTCATTGTTTTGTAAAGGATGTCATCATTTACAGATTAAATCAGTTTAGATTGATGATGAATAGTCCTCTGAATTTCACCTTACAATCAAACCAATACTATTCGAATAGATTACTCCATCATTTGCTTAACATTATATCGTTATTGATGCATTGAGTAACAAGAACTGTGTCCTAGAAAGTTTTACTAAGGAGATCAAGAGTGTCATATACCTCGTTAGGTGTACTTTTCAGGGAAATTAAGAATTAATATTGTAAAAGTTACCTAACCTTAATTTACTGTAGTGTTATCTGAGTTTGATGGAGTAAATTTGGATCTGTAGTTGTCATTTCTAACTTCATTATTGTAGCCTGCTTCATGTATAAATGATCTTTTCACTTAATCCACTGATTCTGTTCAGGTAGTCTTGCTTAGAATTGGCTATGTTTTTAGGTTTTGTTATGTTCATGTTAGACAACCATAGAAAACCTGGAAAAACTGGACGACCATTTCGTTCTGGTATGGGACTACTCAACAGTGCGCATCCACAATTCCACACAGTGGATTCGAACCTAGGACCTCCCAGCTCGCGTCTGAATGCTTAATCTCTAGACTACTGAGTCGGTATCCAATGGTGTCAATGTCTAACTTCAACCAACCCGCGATATTACATGACCGTCCTTCTGTGTATAGAATCGTCGTTACGTACTGATGAGGAGTCATATCCTAGGAAGAAATGACCATCCAGTGTTTCTAAATTTCAAAAGGTGGTCTAATATTGATCCCAACCAAAACTCAACAGTCTCTAAAACCCTTTATTGATTATTTGTTGTCTTTGTTCTTGTAACAATATCTAGGAAGATAGTCAATTGCAAACAAGATGATTTGAGTAAAACAATTGCCCAGTGCTTCAAAGTTTTTTTACCTAAAGTATATCTACCATCTGGTGCTTTGGATTCAATGATTTCTGGATATACCGGCCATCTTACGAAAATGGATACACCGTGAACCTTCATAAACCAATGTTACACCACAAGGAATTAAACATACATGGTTAATCATTTTAAAAATATATTGGTCTAACGGTTGGTTGAGTGTGATCAGAGGATTTCAGTGATAATATCTCTTAAGCAGAAACTGTATTAGGCAAATTCAAATCATATAAGAACCTCTAGTTCTTTAAGATTATAGAGACGCTTTACTGATGAAATAACTCTAGTACGAAGTGTTTATTAGTATTATTAGCTTGATTCAATATGATATGTTTTGTAAAATATATAATTCTTAAAATAAAGCCTGGCGCGAGACTGATAGGTCCTGTGTTCGAATCCCACGGGGTGCGGGATCGTGGATGCGCACTGCTGAGGAGTCCCATACTAGGACGAAACGGCCGTCTAGTGCTTCCAGGTTTTCCATGGTAGTCTATTTAGACAGTGGCAGGAGAGGGGGGAACTGGTAACTCAGATATTCAAACAAACCGCGTTACAGATTGTTTTCAACTATTTGACATTCACACTACTTATTATCTTCCCAATTGTATACAACGTGTAGATGACTATATGCATTTAATCCTTATCATTCAATGACATAATAAAAGTTTCCCCAATTAAGCTAATAAAATGAAGAAAACAACTAAATAAAACAAAACTGGCGTCAACCACAAAAGAAAACAGTGATGAATAATGTGCAATGAATTGTAGTTTCAAGCAAATTACGGGTTAAACATTTGATTTATATGTATACGTTATGTCAAAAGGGTTTTATGGTCTTAATGCTACTACTACCACTGCTACTACCACCACCACCACCACTATCACTACTACCACCACGACTACTAACACTACCACTACTACCACCACTACTACTAACACTACTACTACTACTACTACTACTACTACCACTACTACTACTATTACTACTACTACTACTGCTACTACTACTACTACTACTACTACTAATACTAATACTACTGCAACTACTACTATTAGTAGTAATAATAATAATAAATCACATCTGTTTAAATTGTAAATGATTGGCGTCAATTCTATCTTGCGGCTAGTAGATGACTGACTTACAATTGAATCAGATTATATTAACCGACAATTTAGAAAAAAAAACTGTTCTACAATGAATATTTATAATAGTTTATAAGATATAATTACCAATACATCAGTTTAGTAATTAAAAAGCGTGAAAAGATAATTTGCTAAAACTGTATTCTTTAATAACCGGAGTTTGACAGCAGCTCCCTGGAAATTAGTCTTTGTTGTCCAACCTGCGTCCAATGTGTTTCACTGATCCAAAGCACCATCAAGTTGTATCTTTTCATTTCTGTAGCAAGTTGGATGATTCTTCCAGTCTTCCACATTGTACGAATATACCATGTATTTAAATTAATGGTTGCTCTGGTTGGTATAAGGAGCATCAACCTCATGACTTCCGAAGGAACTCAGCTTTCATTATGAGACGTCATCACTCTTCTAATGGAAGACCTTTTAACTCCCCGGGCAGAGTTTAAATAGTTTGAGTTATTTTTTGGTTAGTGTATTTTTTTTAGCAAGTTAGTTTTCTACAGGATAGGGTCGCTAATCCCATACTCAACCCTCCTCCTTTACCCGGGCTTGAGACCGGCAATAGCCCCAGAGGTGCTCCAGGCGGAGTTTTGGTTAAACTGTAGGATTAAAAAAATAACTCTTGGGCATTTCGGATGAAATTTATTATACAGTAAAGGATAATTTTTATTTGTATTGGTTGTTTAAATCTTTTCGTTGATTCTTGGGACTGTAATTGACCATTCTTTTTTATATGTGTGTACCCTATGTGAATTGACTCCATGCTGTCAGTAAGTCACCAGAAGTATAAGCAGATACGGGTGGTGGCTAACAGTTGGATATTGGACGCTAGTTTTATCCTACTGGGTTCCAATCCTGAAGTAAACATCAACACTGGGATGAAGGTAGATTCAACTAACGAGTTCGAAAATAGAACAAAACGCTCACCCTGAATCCAACCGATTGCCACCATCCATCTCAACCGTGAAGGATGATTTGACTGTATTTCGTATTTTTACTTATTTCGGTAACAATTTGATCACCTAGCATTTGAGAAAAATAAGCCTCTTAAAGCCAACACGTTATGTGGCTGTGGACAGTAAATAACATGTAGAGAAAGTATAGAATTCAGGGTTGAAACAGCTTTACACCATAGCGTAAGCTGATTGAGGAATTCTATATTAAGTGGCATATTTTTTGTCAGATCAAGTCTAGAACTTCAACAGATCAGTGTTTTATCGATTAAGTTGATGTTGTAGACACAATTTATTACTTGTACTACACTAGCAGATGTTGCTGATGTGTCAGCAAAGTATTGATATCTATACTGTAGAATAATGCGGTTAGAAATACTAGTAAATTTGTAAGCTTCCGTCGATGGGCTTAGAGGAATCATCGAAATTGAGAAAACTGTTGTTTACAAAAAGAAGTAAGGGATAGAAGAGATAAAATAGAGTAAGTACTTACTTACTTGTTTACGTCCGTTACTCCCAATGGAGCATAGACCACCAACCAGCATTCGCCAACTCACTCTATCTTGGGCCTTCCTTCCTAGTTCTATCCAATTGTTATTCATTCTTCACATGTTTGTCTCCATTTTTCGGCGTATTGTGTTCTCTGGTCTTCCTTTTCTCTTTTGTCCTTGAGGAGTAGAGTAGGAAAACAACACTTTTTTTCAAGCTTACTAGACGTGTTTTTATAATAGAAGATCGTATGTTGCAGGAATTTCATTTTCAAATAGAATAACGTTAATCTAAAAGCTTTTTTCAACTGTGAATGAAAGTTGGCCAGAATATTTGTAGCCCTCTATAGTTAAAAATTAAGTGAAATTTAGATCATTGTCAATAGCGCAAACAGAACGTTCTCTTAGCAATTTCTAAATAATCCAGATATCTCTGCATTACAGTTGAGACCGCTTTTGTCTGAATTTTATTCAGAATTGTCTGTATCCAATGAAGTGACTAATATAGTTGAAGTTAGACATTAACACCGTTGGATGCCGGACCAGTCAGTGGTCTAGAGGTTAAACGTTCACGCGCGAGACCGACAGGTCCTGAGTTCGAATCTCACGGGGAGAGATCGTGGGTGCGCGCTGCTGAGGGGTCCCATAATAGAACGAAACGGCCGGCCAGTTCTTTTGGGTTTTTCATGGAGGTCTAGCTTCAATTGACTCATGATCTTAACCAGTGAAATGACTGATATACATATTAGTGTTTGGATCTTCCTATTGATGTTCAGGATTATAATTAATAAGTCTATTTGAACATATATGCATTTTGTCCACATTGTCTCGATATTGACAATAAGTTACAAAGATTTCAAATAGATCAGATTGCATATACACCAACAAAGAAGATTGAGCGTTTGTAGTGGTTATCTGAACTTCGTAGCTATGTGGATTACGTGATGACATTTGAAACGATAGATACTGAGTTCGAGTTTTGAAGTGAACATTAACAAACGGAAGTTAGGCATATATAGCTGATGAATCCGAAATAGGAATAAACGTACATTCTAAATTTCACTGCTTGGTACCGTTTATCTCTACTTAAAACTATAACATTTATCAGAAATCAAAATACATTTTTAACAAATTGAGGGTTTTTGTGGAAATTGAAGTAATTTAATAGTTGAATTGACAAGTCGATCCAAACTAGGTCAACATTGAAAATCTGAAAGCACTGAATAGTCGTTTCATCCTAGTATGTGACTCCTTAGTAATGCACATCCACAATCTCGCTCGCGGGACTCGAACCCATGACCTTAGAATGTACGTTAGATTTGATTTTTTTTCCCAAATAAACAATTTTTGCTTCACATTTATAGATCACTTTATGCACTATGTAAGTTTTGTTAAGTTCATGAACAAATCAACTGACAAAAAGCTGAAAGCACTGGATGGTTGCTTCATTCTAGTATTGAACTCCTCAGCCTTAGTGCCTTGTTAATGGATAACGTAATAATACCACCAATCAGAGAGCAGCGAATTATCGATCGAACCAGTGACGCATAAAACACGTGCGAGCAGCCTAGAGTCTTGATTGGTCTCGCTTCCTGTCTAGTCCAGCCAGTTAAGTCCAGAACACCAATCTCAGCCTCTACAATATGAATAATCTATTTAAAACATACAGGGTTTATATACCAACCAAACAAATCACATCGTAACATAAAACAGGAAACAGCATTTGTACAAGATTTAACCAAATGTGGCTGTGAGTGTGGGAGACTTTAATGGATAGACAGGGCATAATTCAAGAATGGTAAATCGTATAATAACAGTCTTTAGGTCAAAATAAAGCTTATAATTAGAGGCATATGAATTTGAATAGTTCAGTTACATAACAATTATACGATAAATATATACGTTTAGTATTGGTCCATAAATGGATCCTAAAGTTACCATTCATCATGCTTATCGGGACCTAACACCGTGAGAATTTGTGACCTCGTACATACGAAATCAATCAAGGATTTTCGGTCTCTTATACGCGGATGCTTAACCTCTACATCAATGAGATGGTATATCACATGCAGAGTCTCGGATTCCCAATGCTGAGGAATCTCATACTAGGAAGAAACGACCTTCCAGTACTGCAAGATTCTCAATAGTTGTCTAATGTTGATTAGCTCATGATATCATTACAAATGAATCGTGAATCGTGGATGCGCACTGCTGAGGAGTCCCATAATGGCCGAAACGGTCGTCCAGTGCTTCCAGGTTTTCAATGGTGGTCTAATATCAATCGATTCATGATCTCAGTCAAAAACTTTATAATCTCCACAACCCTATACTGACAAGTGAATGCTTAACCATACTATCAATGAGCTGTCAGGGTCGCGGATTCCCACTGCTGAGGAATCCTATACTAGGACGAAATGGCCATCCAATACTGCAAGGTTTTTATTAGTTATCTAACATTGATTAGCTCATGATATCACTACAAATGAATGATTTGATATTGATTTATTAAAACAAAAACTGACTATATTCATAGAGACAATCCAGTTGTCATGTTACATATATTTTACCTATAAAAATACTTATATATGATTAGATATTATCTCATATGTTGTGCTAAAGTTATTTCCGCAGTGATAAAACATTTCCTAGTTTACAATTGATTATCTAATTCATAAATTTTTGGTCAGATTCTATTTGTTTTATGATCGTAATAGCGATCAATGCATTGAACAAGAAAATAAGTATATATTACTGATATTGTAATAAGTAGTTTTTACATGGTATCCTAACAACTAATTTCAACCGTTTATTATTGTCACCATTCCATGGTTTCCATGATTTTCTGAACGTCTCCAAATGCCCTGGTACGGCCGAGAGTGGGGAGGATCCGCAATCCCTCTCGAAATGCTCTTATATGGCCACGCGTACACAGTCTCTGCCAGGGGAGTACTATTAACTGCAACATTCTCCGACATAACACAACATGCATCAATCAAATCACACTTGACGGAGAAGATTTGGAAGATGTAAAAACATTTACATATCTGAGCAGCATCATTGATGAATACGGTAGATCTGATGCAGATGTGAAGGCGTGTATCGTCAAAGCAAGAGGAGCATATTTACAATTGAAGAACATCTGGAATTCAAATTAACTGTCATTCAACCAACACGAAGATCAGAATTTTCAACACAAATGACAAGATAGCTATACTATATGAGGTGAAAACGTGAAGAACTACGAAAGCTATGATCCAGAAGATACAAGTATTTATTGAAAGTTGTCTACACAATATTCTTCGGATCCGTTGGCCAGATACAAACTACTGTGAGAGAGAACAAAGCAGTTTCTAGAGGAGGAAGAAGTCAGGAAGAAGCTGTGGAAGTGGATAGAACACATATTGAAGAAAGCACACAACTGCGTCACACGTCTAAAGGAGAAGAAGAGGCATATCAACGAACACATTGCACCGAGAAATAGAGACACATATGAAAAGAATGACCGAGAACTGGAT